TGGGCTAGACACCTTCCTCTTACACAACAGGGTTCACCACAAACCACCAGGGAAATGGCACAGTCACCCATTGTCTTCAACGTTCATTTACTACTCATAATGCAATTCAAAAATTCTAGAACACATTCCTCTCCACACTCGCAAATAACATTCTTCTATTTGAATAAAGTACACTAATTAGTAACTTTAACAAATCTCCATCTCTTCATGTACCTCTACAACTTGGTGATAAGTGCATTGTATATACTGAACAAGTATTCTCATTGTCATCAACTTAATAACCATGTGGACAAGGAGAATATAGTGGTGGGTGGGAGGTGGGGGAGCAGGTTTCCAAAGATTATCCTAAAACAGTGAACCTTGTTCTCTTCAAGATAAAAATTATCTACATAAAAAATAAAAGCAAAGAACTGATCAGAACATCTTCTATGAAATTCAATAAAAAGGACTTGGAAAAAAGTTTGCTTTCTATGTAATTCCCTACAAAATCACCTTTCTGTGTCAGCTTAAAAAAATGTGAAAATACATTTCAAGGTCCTGATAAAATTGTAACAAAAGAGTGATAATACACCATTGTCTATCATTGACATCAACTGCTGTAGCTAAGGAGCAAATGCTGACTTTTAATAGTTGATTTTCCAAGAAATCTCATGAAATATCTTGATGCAATCATGATAGAATCATAAACTTAAATTTATAGTTTCATCTCAAACAGATCATTGAACTTATCCTCACAGTAATTAAATTTCTTTCAGTTGTAGGAAGACATTTTGAAGATGAAGAAATTGAAGCATTGGCAGATTAAATGATTTACTTATGCCCTACATTCAGTGTAGATACAAAACCAAGAAATCATTACTTCTTTTTTCCAAAGTACTTTGGAGCCTGAGTTCAAATCCCAGCTCTGGCACATAATAGTTGCATATGATTAAGCAAATTCCATGAGCCTGAGTCTCAGTCTCCTTATTTGTAAAATGGCAAGAATAATCCCTAAAGTATAGACCTGTTTTAGGATTAAACAGTACAATGTGTGTAAAGTGTCAGAGACAGGGCCACATCGGTTATCAATAAATATTATTCTCGGGGCACCTGGGTGGCTCAGTGGTTTAAAGCCTCTGCCTTCAGCTCAGGTCATGGTCCCAGAGCCCTGGGATCGGGCCCCACATCAGGCTCTCTGCTCAGCAGGGAGCCTGCTTCCTCCTCTCTCTCTCTCTCTCTCTGTCTGTCTCTCTGCCTATTTTTGATCTCTCTGTCAAATAAATAAAATCTTTAATAAATAAATAAATATTATTCTCTTACAACTTTATGGGGAACATGAACTCTGGCTTTTTGAACAGTATAAACTAAAATAAAAAGGAAGAACTTCTTAAGCATCACAATGCTGAGAACTAGTCATTCAAATTGCCTTCTATGACATACAATTCCAGTGAGTGCTGCAGACACAATGATGAATTGGAAAATGGTTTGTCCATGCTGAGACATGGAAAACATACCAATTGTTTGAAAATTGCTTGTTATCATAAGTTTAAATGAGAAATATTATTTAAGTATATGTGGTTTTTTTTGAGGATGGAATTGTTTTGTTTTTTTGCAGATTCTCTGAAATTATGTTTTTCCAAATTAAAAAAAAAATAAGTATGTGATTGTAGAGAGAATTTTTTTTTCCAGCTGTGAGAGAGAGGGCGCAGGGGAGGACAGCTGGAAGGACTGTCACCCCAAACAACTCCTCAGTCCTGTATTTATGACTGTAGAAAGAATATTATACTCACAGTCACTCCCTACAACTCAGTCTTATAAGTTTGGGAGAAATCATGACTTTGGGAATCATTCTCAAGTCTAAAATTCTCAGATTCTAGTGTAAAAATAAGACAGTGGACATACAAAGAAATTACTTAATATAAGCTAATAATTAGAATAGGAATATCCTTATTCCTAGAAAAACCTAGAATGTCAGTGTATTCTTTTGAGCAAAAAAAAAAAAAAAAGGTTAGTTTGCTTCAACTAATCTTAATCTTGTTCCCTTTGCTTAAAGGTAAGTTATATTCTAGCTCTATCATAGTATGACAAAACACATTTGGTACACAATATATTTAAATATTAACTATCCAGACTATAGCTTGAAGACTGAACATTTTTATTCTAAGATAAATTCTGCCTATAATGAAGTTGAAACTAGATCTCCTATTATACAAATGTAGCCATTTTAAAAAACCACACAACCAACAATGTGGTAGAGGGTTTATAGCAAAGCATGCAATGTGTTTCAAGTTTACGGTAATTAAAATTTATTTAAAATGTTTTATGGAGTACAAAATCATAATGCAAAGATTCTTTTAATCAATAGCAAGTTTAGAAAAGAATCCTAAAATGACATACAAATATGAAGCAGCCTAATTGATTTAATACTTAATAATTCATCTGTCAGTAAAAATCTTTTCATAATCAGCTTATGTATTTTTTTCAAGTTCCCTAACTGGCTCTTGTCTGCATTGGGACAGGTCTCATCTGAATTTTGCAAGTAAACAAGTTTGTTAGCAAAATACTTTTTACAAACAGATATGTAACTGATACTTTTTTTTTTAAAGATTTTATTTATTTATTTGACAGACAGAGATCACAAGTAGGCAGAGAGGCAGGCAGGGGGGGGAGGAACAGGCTCCCCGATGAGCAGAGAGCCCAATGTGGGGCTCAATCCCATGACCCTGGGATCATGACCTGAGCCAAAGGCAGAGGCTTTAACCCACTGAGCCACCCAGGTGCCCCTGTAACTGATACTTTTAATCCTCATTACAACTGATGTATTTCTTTACGGTTGTAAAATGGCAATGGCAAATAAAGTATAATTTTTAGGTCATTTTCTGGAGATGCTGTTCCAGAGTGCCACTAATAGGCAACTATCCCTTTCTCATTTCTTTATGAACTACAATTCTCCAAACCTTAAAGCATAACAGTGAGGTAAATTTTTCTTCTTTCAAACCAGAATTTAGAACTGGCTCAAGCGGTTATGGGTGGAGAGCTAAAAAATTAATCTGATACAGCTAAATATCTCAGCCACTCTTTAAGCAAGCATTTGTTGTGCTGTGTAAATACTCACAAAATACCACATGCATCTGCAGTAGAAAAGGGAAGAGGTTGGGTAGGTATGTTTTAAAAAAAAGAGAGAGAGGTCAAGAACAGGAACAAATGATAACTATGCTATTATTCCTCCAAGTTTCTTTGGTTCTAGCTTAATAGTATTATCTAGATGTGAAGATCAGATAATCCTGTCCTATGACTGCATTATTAACCAACGATCTTGCCCACCATGTTGGATTCAAGCTAAAGCAAAGCAGCATCCAAGCAACTGAGATTATCAATAACTCTTGGCACTACTTCATTTCAATGAGGTAGTCTTTCAATTTTAATAAAGTATAGAAAAGGGGAAAAATGAGCCAGATACAGAAACAAACCAGAGTGAAACCGAGAAACTTCCTAGGTGTATGCATGGTACTCTAGTGACGTGACGTTACTAGGTCACAACTGAAGGCTGAACAAACACTCCTTACCGGGAAGTAATACACTATGTTTGGGAGAACACAAGACTGAAAAAAAAGAAAGAGAGAAAAAGAAAAAGAAAAAAGATACAATCAAAGGAAATTGCTTCATATAGTAATGTTTCACTTGGAGGATTAGAAGCAGAACTGCAGTAGTTGTCAAGAAGGAAGCCAACTCCCACAGAAAGGGTCAATAATACTTTTGATATTATAATAAAGAATGACTGCATATTTGAGGCAAGGCCTTCTAAAGGTCAGACAAGCAATATTAAAGTTTTCCCCCAAAAGGGAAACTATACTGCTAATTTTATTTAATTATGTTGCCTAATAATAGTAACTTACGCTAACTAGTGATAAAATAATAAAACTGAAATGGGATAAATCCCTATGTAGTAAGAGCTCAGTTCAATGTGGGTCCTCAAGTGTCTTTCCAAAAATGTGTCAAAAATAACATCCCCCAAAATGGAAAGGTAAACATACCTATTACTGAGGAAGGGGGGGGCAAAAAGGCATTGAGCATATGGATTATTAAGCATCTAGATCCGCAATGCATTCCCAACCCCGGAGTTATGTTTAACAACAGCTTGTGTACAAATCACTATTTTTATGCTTTGCTAATGTAATATGCCATTTATTACATCCTGAAATTATTCAGTGACCTACTTCGTTAATTAAGACATTGACAGAGATCTTTCCCTTTTGAACCAGACCACTGGCCAAAGGACTATTTCGGTTCCACCAGGTTGTATGATTATTTCTATTTTAAAGAAAAGAACATTTTAAAGGACAGAACGTGACAGGTCCAGAGTTTAATGTAAAGAGAAACAACGTTTCTTCCCATTATTTAACCTTAGTCTTTTCACCTAATTGCTATGAATCATAAGATTAATGATGGAAACCAGAAAATAAACGAATTAAAATTTTAAAGATGCAGGGACACAGCTCACTGCACCAGTATTCTTAGAGCAGTTTCACACAGAACAGTGTCAACCTTCAGAAGGGGGAAAGAAAAAAGAGTAAATAAAACCTGTGGTTTATTTTTAATCAGAGATCTACATCGAATATACAGTCCGTGAGAAGGCACAGTGCTCAAGATGTAGTAGTAGAGATGAGGAACCAAAAGGGGAAAATACTTTAACCTTCCAACCATAAATCAGCCCTTTCCTTCTACTATGACAAGTGCTCAGAGTTACTTGGAGAAATAAAGCACCTGGCTCTGAGATTGAGTACCCATAACTGAGAAAAACGACGTGAAGTCTTTGCGTGGTTAAAGGGAAGGAAATTTGCCCTGCTCAGGCATCTCCTCCCAATGCAGCAAATTTGGACATGAGCTATAGGCTGCAAACTGAGCTTGGAAATGGTGCAGGGGAATGATGGAGGGAAGGGAAGATGAAGTTGCCAGTTCTGAGGCTGGATGGTTCTACCCAGAGCCTCAGAGGGAAGGGGTTAAAGGGATGCTCCTCATACCTTTCTTTTCCGTTCCATACGTTCCCTGGGGATTTTCCGTTGTTTTTTTCTCTCTCTCTCAAGGTTTTTTTCTTTTTCATCCAGTTCGGCCTCTCGAACTTTTTTAATAGAAGCAGCAGCGTGAGCCATTTTGCAGAGAAAATCAGCAGAAGCAGTTACCGCAGCTCGGTTTCCACTCCCCAGCAAGCCAGGTGATTTTAGAGCTAGATGGAGATGTGATTTTGCCCACCAGGGCAATGGTTGACAACCAGAGCACTCACGAAATAATCCACTCCGCCCCCGAGCTAGGTCATAATCTTGCTCCAGCCTCTGCAGCACCCATAATTCACCAGAACGTGCCAAGGTCCCAGGCCAAGCCCCCCAGCAGCGCCCACCTGCACATACGCAGGCATAGGTGTGCACCCACACTCGGAAGTGGTCCCCGGGGAAGGCGGAGCACTAGACTCGGAGCTCTTGAGCAGTTGGGTGGCCGCAAGTGCCGGCAAGCATCCTACTAGTTGAAAAAGCCTTCCTTAGACACACATCACCAGTTGGAACAGTCTTTGGGGACTCCTCCAGACAGTCTGTGTCTTCCGACTGGAGCCAGGAAGAGGCCACCTCTGAGGAACTGCTGGGGGTGGGGGTGCAGTTTACTGCCGCTTCCAACCACACCTCTATGCAGGGTGAGAAGAAAATGGTGCAGTCTCACTAAATGACTCGCCGCCGCTGCTGCTGCTGCTGCTGCTGCTGTTGCTACGGCAGCTCCGCTGTAGCACATGACAGGAATTCCTGCCTTTTAAATCTCGGCCCTTCCCTCCTCCAAGGTTCATTTCAAGAAAAGAACCAACGCCGTTTTGGGAGAGGACGAGCACGGTTGGAGTTACTTGCCCCCGCTAGAGCAGTACACGGGTGAGCAGTCTGGGAAGGGCTGGGAGTAGCCCGGTGCTCACCGTGTCATTTACAGACCCACGTGAGGCTGCATTAGGGAGCTGCATTAAGCCTGGAATCGAAAGGAGCTGTCAGTGAGCACACAGCATAATCTGGGCTCAGCCAGGTTATCCCAGGAGAGACAGGGGGCCCCTCGAAAGAGGCAGAGGTTGAGAAGGGGAGAGGGGAAGCGGGCCACACCTAAGACCACTTTCCCTCATTCTAAGAGGCACAGGGGTACTCATTATTTAGTTACCAAAGGCTTTTGTTAAACACCAAATTCACATTAAGTAATGTGATGAAGTAAACTGGGATTAATATCATATACCCAAAAGAGAGGCACCATGAGGGAAGATACAACTTGGTAACTCAGAATGAACCCAGCACTTCATCTGATCCAGAAGTCAGTCAAAGGAGAAAATAACTGCAGTGGCATGGGCCAGCCTGCATGGGCATTGTGATGGTTCACAGGTCAGTTAACTTCCAGCCAGCACAACTATTTAGTTTCTTACGTATAGGAAGCATAACCCTCTTTGGTTTAAACAGCTGAGAATTCATCTCCTTAAAAAAAAAACCCACAAAAAAACCTATCTATCTATCTATCTATCTATCTATCTATATTTATATAGATAGATATCAGGGGCACTTTGGTGGCTCAGTCAGTTAAGCATCTGCCTTCAGCTCAGGTCATTATCCCAGGGTCCTCGGATGGAGCCCCGCATCAGGCCCCTTGCTTAGTGGGGAGCCTGCTTCTCCCTTTCCCTTTCCTTCTGACTGCCGGGCCCCCTGCTTATGCTTTCTCTCTCTCACTCTCTGTTAAATAAATAAATAAAATCTTAAAAAAAAAAAAAAATCAGCTTCTATTAACTCCCCAGTCTGGAAAATGTTGTACATTTTTGCAAGGAAACACACATAGACATTTAAGCTTCCTGGGCAGATAATATGTGGATTTGGGGAGGATTCCTATATGTTCTTAACCAGGTGAGTCATTGCCTGCCACTTGATATAACATAATTGAAACATTTTCTCCTCTGAGGTGCTTGAACATAATCAGCAGTGATGGTGTCAAAGCAGTCATTAAGAATGAAGGTGGTTCAGGGAAAGCAGTGAGCCTGGAGCACAGGGTGTTCTTAACACCATCTGGCATTTTTTCTTCTTCTAAATACTTTTTTAAAATGTTTACAACTAAGCTAATCTTTTTTGATTCATGGATGTCCTTTTAACTTAAAAACATATGTCCCAACAAAAATGTGGCTGAGCCACAGACGTAAAGTGGTTTCCCTGTTAGTGAGGGTGACTCTTTTGGGCTTCTTTTGGGACAATGCCCTTCCCCAGTCCCTTTAGAACCTCTTCATTCTATATCAGAATATACTCTCCCCTCTGTAGATTTCCCAAAAGAAAGATGGAAAATCACAAGTACAACTAGAGAAGAAAGTGGGGAGTACCTGTTGTAAAAACAAAACAAACAAACAAACAAAGTACAAAGAAACAACAACAAAAAACACACAAAAACCAAAAACCCACATTTATTTCATTAGCCTTTAATGAGCTCAACAGACCTACTTATAAAATTGAAGAGTAGAAATTGAATTATGTTGTTTTCTAATGCCAGGGAAATTATACATTTTTAAAACTTTAATCTGATAACAACATGAAGTTTGTAGGCAGAGTTAACAGTCTTACTCCCCAAGATTCCCTCCCCGCCCTTTTTTTTAAGATTTTATTTATTTATTTGACAGAGAGACACACAGAGAGGCAATACAAGCAGGGGGAGTGGGAGAGGGAGAAGCCGGTTTCCTGCTGAGCAGGGAGCCCAATGTGGGGCTCAATCCCAGGACCCTGAGATCATGACCTGAGCCAAAGGCAGACGCTTAAGGACTGAGCCACTCAAAGGCCCCTCTTTCTTCCTTTTTTTCTTTCTTTTAGTAAACTCTATACCCAACTTGGGGCTCAAGCTCATGACCCTGAGATCAAGAGTTGCTTGCTCTATGGGCTGATCCAGCCAGACGCCCCTCCTTCCCTTTTTCTACAACAGTGTTTGATGGCTCCTTCGTTACTTTGTCTCCTGAAGAAAAGGTAATGAATCAGGTGTTACTTTGTTAGGTGTTTGTTTGACTGACACAAATATCTCACAAAGCAAGTGATTGCGAAAGCTTTGAAAACAATAACTATACTACTTCGCTTACACATTCTCATTATAACTTCAGATGCAATGCAAAGAAGCAAAGTCACTGTGTTTTTACAGTTAAGTTCTAGAAGGCACATAACTTGATAGCTTTCCCAGGACAGTTTGCAGTGGCAGGAGGGACAAATTTAAGTACTCTGAAATCAGCCCACCTCAGGAGAAGGAGCCCGCTCAAAAAGCCCCACCGCGGGCTCTACTACTCAAATCACAAGGCAGGAAATCTCAGACTAGTACGAATATTTTCACAATAAAAATAAAACAAACTGGCCACAAGTCCTCTCTTAGTGGGCAGCATTCCATTTATCTTCTCCCCCATCGTAGAACACACTGCCCCTACATGAGATGGACAGCAGCACAGAATCCTATTTGGAGCACCAGGCACATTAGACATCCCCATGCAGTGATAACGCTGTCTCTCTACAACTAACTCACTCAATAGTGAGCTGTCGAGAACACGATTTTTTAAAACCACACCTTCTTGTATATTTGTGTTGCTCAAACTTTCCTCTGACTTCTATTTGATTGGAAAAGAAATCAGTGTCGGTCTTTCTGAGGGAAGAGAGCAGGGCACACTCACCAGCTGACCTCTGCACAGACAGGGCACCAGGTTCCAGTCCCAGGAGCTCCCAGCCATATAAAGAACGCATGCACCACATTAAAGGAATCTTCCTGTCAAGCTTCCCGCAGAGATAGAATACTGGCTGAATTTTAAACTTGTAAGAAAAGCTGCTTCCTTCCACAAAGCCTCTTGGCCATCAATGGGACAAGCCTGTGTCTGCCTTCAAAGTGAAGAACACAGTGTCATTTACATTTAAACTTGAGAGCCAGCCTAGATAGATTGCCCTTCAGAGAGGACACACTTCATTTGAAAGACAGGAGAGAAAATGGCCATTTGCTGTCCTCAGTGTCCAGCACTCCATTGATCAGGATCCAAAGAAAATCCTCCGCAGACATCAGGCATCAGTCAGGGCATCGTTCAATAACAACTGAGCTAGCCATATGCAACTTAATCCCCCTTCTCTCTCCCAGCTCACCCAGGAGAAGCAGCTATGCAATTAAACAGCATATATTGTCACTCTACCACAAATGGAGTGTGGGTGGTAAGTGGGAAAAGAAGCAGATGCACCCCAAAGACAGTTAAAGCATCACCTAATCAGGAGGGGAAAAAAATAAAAAGGTTCTGCTCACTTGAGCTATGAGCCTAGAGTTCACTCTCCTCAAGTTCAACGGTGTTTATCTAAATTTAAGGATTCATGTGTGTTGAGACTCTTGAATGGTCAGGGCAAAGTAAAGCAAACGGAACCAATGACAGCATTGATACCTCACTCCCACTTTGTTTTACCTGAAGCCAAATACAAAGGCTGATAGGACAACACAAAATTGATAAAGTGGAGTTGAGTCTCTCTCAATAACAGTTTCTGTAAGAAGGGGATTTGATTAAAATTAGAATATCCAAATGGCATAGTTCTTCTACTTCTTCCTGAGGAATGGAAGCAAGGACACCCCAGTTCCAAGTCAAAATAAGTGGATTCTACGGTTGAAGATGAGGATGCAGAAGCGGTCTCAGGACCTCCATCTTCCAAGCTCTGGAACAAGCTCTAATATTTCTGATGTTTCATAGAAAATTTCCATCTAAGGGCGCCTGGGTGGCTCAGTTGGTTAGGCGGCTTCCTTCAGCTCAAGTCCCCGGATCGAGCCCTGAGGCAGGCTCCCTGCTCAGCCAGGAGTCTGCTTTTCCTTCTGCTGCACCAACACTGCTCCTGCTTTCTCTCTCACTCTCAAATAGATAAAATATTGAAAGAAAGAAAGAAAGAAAGAAAGAAAGAAAGAAAGAAAGAAAGAA